GTTTCCTCTTTATGAGGAGTTATGATTTTAGTCATTTTTTAATTATAGGAAAGAAGTAAATGAAAAAACTTGGAATTTTAAATGGTAATAGAAAGTTTTATGTTCCCTATTGTGTTCAGATTCAGAAAGGGAAGGTTGAAGTATACGGATCTTACTGTGCAATTATTTTCTCCTGGGACACATGTCCTATCGATACGTTTACCATGTGACATCTCAGTTTGTGAATGCAAAATACTTGGTGCCCACAATAAATATCAGCATCCCTAACAGCAAACTGAATAGTTATTTAACATAGTACCACAGGGAGTTTTGTGTACATTTGTGTGTATGTTGAGAGGCGCAATTGACTTTTTTTCTGTTTGTCTAATCCTTAGCCTGAGAGACTATATTCAAAACATAATGAAATCACAAAAACAAAGTTAGCTGTAGCAACTTTTAATGTGGCACTAAGAAAAATGGCATTTCTTTCCTCAATGTTAATATAAAAAATTGTGTACTAACCTACTGCAATTCCTTCCCAGAAGACATATATAAGTTTATTCATTTGAGGTCAAGAGATGCTTAGTAATATTAAGTACTCAGCCTCACATTTCTATGATTTTAAGCTTTTCTATTATTATGGTGCATACTAATAATTGACTTATTTTTAATAATAATGAAAAAAGAATACTCTTCTCACATACACTGTCTAGCGAATTTCTTTTTTCTAAACCTTCTAAGTACTTCTGAACTTGTGACTTGGTATGTGTTACAGGTTTATATAAGAAAGTGGTTCCTTAGGATAATACACTTTTCATACATGAATTGGAATATTAATTTTAATACATCTACTCTATAAAATGCTCCAAAGTGGAGGAAATACCATTTGTCCTACGGAGAATTCTACTCATTGTGAAGCAGAACTAGACTTGGGCCAAGTATCTGCGAGGTCAGTGATTTTGTTAAATACTGAGAGAGGTGGTATTAGACTTGCCTTTCTTAGTACTTCCTCCCCCCTGCTGTGGTATTTTGTGAGGCAGGGAGCTGCCTGTTGCATAGGAACTGTGATAGGCCTGCTTTCAAAAGCTTAGCTCTTGTTGCCATGGGTGCCTGCAACTGGGCATCGCCAAGTCCAACTGGGCATCATATTCTCCAGAGCTCACCCAGTGATGCAAGTTTCATTCTAGCTATTTCCTATTGAAGCATCTTTTTTTTTTTTTCTTTTTCCTCCCTCTTTTTTTTTGCTGACACGATATTTGTCTTATTTTTAGACACAGTCCTACAAACATCTTTTCAGCAAGCAAATTTGTATGGGAATTATTTCTATTAAATGGTAAAAGTATAGAAGACTACAGTATTTAAATTTGCTTTCAAATATAGGGGTCAAGTATATGAATTCTTATAAGGGCCAGCAGAAGTCTTCAGATAAGATCCACTGCCTTGTTCAACGGAGACACTTCTGATTCTAAATATCGTGAATCTCTTTAAAAGGAGTATTCTCATCTAATAGCAGCTTAGTCAGTAAATCTGTGTTAATCAAATTATGATTCACTCTTAACTACTTTTAGTAGGTTTGTTTATTGCATAGTAAAATCAATAGTATAGTAACTAGTGTAGTATGGTTAAAATATAGTAAATTTGATAGTATTTTGATAATAAAGTATATATTTATTATAGCGTGTATCTATACTATAGTCAATTTATATAATAAAGTTGATAGTGTTGATAGAATTATTAGTAAAGTCAAAATAAATACAATTCTTCTTTCACTTAAATTTTATGTTTCATTACAATATCATCTGAAATGTATATTTTAAAACAACCTTTCACAATTTCTCAGCCAGAAGAAGTCTTTCACTATTCTTTTGGGTTGTCAAGGGTACTGGAGTAGGGAAGAGGAGGAAGCCAGAGTATTGATTAAAGTATAAATAGTATTGTGAGTGTAGAAAAAAAAGATTCAGGAGAAATAAAAAGATTGATATACCTGATATTGTTCTGTCACCTAAAAATGGCAGAATTTACGTCAAAGTACAATAAACCAATAATTTCTGGGAATTGTCATTGGCCATCTAATGGATAGGTCAATTGATTTAATTCTCAGGTATATGGCCAGGTAATGCTCGTCTGAAATAGTCTATCTGAGAGCTCTGTATATCATTCTCCACCATAAAGATGTGTGATAGTCCTCACTGTTGTGATATTTTTTCAGTCTAGTCACAAATATGCTGTAATGATCCTGACTGAATTTGTTTTAAAGTCTACAGTTAAGACCCAAGTCCTGATTTTCCATCCTGATTGAGTATCACATGCTTCCTTTTTCTGTGACATTTATTTTTAAGCATTTTGAACAGAAAGCAGGGGTTGAAAACTTAAAACTCCCTAGACCAAAGGAACATTGCTAGTCATTTGTTGGCATTTTCTGGTTAAGCTTACATAGAAGAAACAATTACTATTTTTTCTTAAAGCCTTATGTTGCCTAATGAATCAAAACAGCAATCTGTGAAAAAGCCATCATTAATGACATTGAAATACACATGTCTGATCATATCCAGAGCAATTAACCTAAAGACCTGGTTAAGAAAAGATAGATCCTATAGGAGAAAAGACCTAAGTCTCTACTGAACTGAATAAGACAGAAGGCTTCAAAGACACTTGATACAGTTATGCCCTCTGGAACTTGTTCTGATGAATACAATTAATTTGAACTTGCTTCTACAAACTAAATAATTTATGCAGATGCCTGTTAGTTCATCTCTATATTAGTTTGTCTCTTTGAAACAAAACAATCCTAGTGGAATAAGAATGAGATTTAAATCTAGCAAGTCTTCTGCTTAGAGGGATGGGGGAGTGGGGAGGGAGGGGGCAAGGTGAACGCTGGTTAGCCTTCAGTGTCCTTCTAATGTTCTCAAAAATAGGGCAAAATAACTGTAGTATTGGCATGCAGGGGCCAGCTTGCTCAGGAAACTGTGGCATATATAAAACAAAGTGCATAAACAAACTCTCCATCCAGGAAGCCGAGTTTAACAATTGCCTCATTAACAAGATCCAGGCAAGGACAGGAAAAGAGGGGGAAGCCAATGGCTGATTATTAAACAGTTCTAGACAGATGAAGCCCTTCAGCATCTTCCCAAACAATCCCTGTAGTGTGGATTTGACAAAGTGGCACATTTAAGAGGGAACTCTCTTGCCATCAATGGCAGTCAGACACTCCGGTATCTTAGGGCCAATTTTAGTCCCTGGAGCTTGACTTTATCAGTACACACAAGACAGAGGACAAGGCAGCTACATCCACAGAGAATTAATTAAGAGCAAAAGAGACATCCAGTGAATGTAATCAATAGTCCTAACACTGATCTACATATCAACCACTGTCTCTTTCACCCCTTCTATTTTTTTTTAAAAAATATTTATGTTAAGGTGCTCTTGTGACTACTATTACAACAGAAATTTATTAGCTTACTCAACCTCATTGAAATTACATATTTTTCATACTGCATCATACAAAATATATCATCAAAGGCCAACTACCCTGATGCCAGTTTAGGTTTCTGAATGATTGAAACCTTTTTGGATAGAATTCTATTATGGATAATTTATTAGTTTGGCTTTCTCCCTGCACATTTTTCCAGTTTTGTATGGGATGTATGTTCAAATAAACCAGACTTCAGAATTGCCAAAGTTCACACCCAAATTTGTCTTTACTAACTTTTATCAATCTTCTTTTGAAAACCATTCCTTTCATAATATACCATAAAACCCCTATTAGTGATTACAGTGTTGCTTGCAAACACACAATATTGGTTTAATGCAACCCTTTTCAGTACTGGTATTTGTTTCTTATATCTCTCAACCCTTCCCCCACCCAATGCACATTTTAAAGTATTCTGTAGTTCCCCTTTTGAAATCAATGAAAACAATCATATGATGTTTATATTGCTTTCATTTGTGCTGGGCAATAGTATAAGTCTTATTACCTTCATTTTTGAATGGCTTACCAGAGACATCATTTTTCAAGACCAGGTTCTTGGTTAAGTCCTTTAGCAAACATTCTGATTTCCTCTTGAATCTGTGCTTTGTGTGCATCTCTCCTAAGCAGCACTGAGACCAGAGTAATCTGTCAGTCATCACTTGTGATGGGCTCTAGCCCCATCAATTCAACAGCAGCCTTTATTGCTTAAGGAAAATAGGAAATTCTGCCTCCTGGACATAAACATGTGAATTTTCTATGTCCAGGACCAAGAGGATAAAAAGGGCAGATTTAACCAATATTTCCATAAGAATGAAAGTCTCACTTTTACCCCACATGTGTAACACTTGACTCACGAAGCACATTTAAGGGGCTTCTCTATAAACATTTTTTGTATTGTCATTGGATCTAATTTTACAGTTCTTACTTACACCACACTCCCTTTAAAATAGGTGGGAGTGTGACTTGAGTAAGCACCATAAAACCAGAGCCTGTTTTTCCCTGATCTTGGTTGCTTTTATAAATAGATGTGGTTTTAAACTTAGCACCAATGTAATCTCAAGATAATATAAAATAGAATGACACCATAATAAATGAAACATCAAAATGGAAAAAAAATATGGTTGGCTGGCAAGAAGCCAATTTCTTCTTAGTCAGAAACTAGAGGCCAGGCAATGTGTTTAAAAAAAAATAATGATAAAATGTAGAGTTATTACTGACACAATGACAGTGTAGATTTGGGTGGCCAAAAAAAAAAATGTTGATGAGATTTAGAAGTATATGCTACCCCTGTTTTAGGCCCACTGGAAACAGCTAGTGTTCAACCAGTTTGGTTTTTATATGGCCTTCAAAGGTTTATATCAACTAGATTATTCTAAAATTAAGAAAAAAAATTTACCTGATTGTTGACCAAAAAATATGAAATGGAGAAAAAGAAAATAAAACAAACAAACATACCATGTTTACACACAAAACAAAATAATTCTTTCAGGGACATCAGGGAAGGTGGAATACTATAACAACACATGTTATATTGTTATACTATTCCACCCACCTTAATGAGGAACCCTTGGGCGTTGCTACTCCATAGCCTTTCGAATCCAGATTTCCTCCCACTTTCATCGTGTCACATGGCTTTCGCTGCTCAATGTATTCATTCATAGTGGACTCCAGGAGAAAGGCAAATTTGCCCTTGGATTTGCGGACACGAGCCACTCCCTCAGCTGTAGTCCTAGTGAACACTGATGGCTCTGCTGATCGCATGTAGGTCCACATCTTTTCATACACTGCTATTTTTGATCTCTGGAGGAAATTAAAATAAAATTAAATACAGGAAAGAAGGGAACAACATGTTAAAATTGATCGAAGGAAAAAGAATGATAAAGCCCTTTAGTATCTTCCCATTGCCCTCTAATTTGCTATACAGTAACATAATAGTAAGGTTATTCTTTCACTATTGGAAAAATATCATTTGAAACTATTTAAGGAAATCACTGAAATGACAAATATTCAAAAATGATATTTTAAGAGGCCTGTACCTCCTGCCATAATAAAAAATTACTATACTCAATTATTTTTAAATACCAACTTATTATTCATCTTAAACATACAAGGCCATGAACAGCAATGAACATTTAAAATCATGTTTTATATCACAGTCATGATAAACTTGAAAAAGACCAGACTGATCTAGTCCTTTTATCTTGACAGAACTCCTTTTAATATTATATCTGAATTAAAACCAATAAGGATAGTTATTTTATTTTTATCTTTCTTCATACCTCAAAGTAAGACATACATAAATGTATGGGTCATATCAAGTCAGTAATTGAACATCAAAGAAAGAAGAGAAATCTGCTATAGTATAAAAAGCAAACATCTACAACATATGAATCAAATTCTAGTTTAGTCAAAACATTTTTTTAGACATTGTCTGACAAAATCTCCAGATAGAATATACATCAAACTTTAAGGAGAAATGATTCCTGTTTTCCTACTTTGTGTTTTGATGAGTCATTCTCATATCCTGACTCCAGCCAAGAAACATTTATTTCTATAAATTACTTCTGTCTACCTGAGCTCCGGCTACTTAATTTACCCAGGTCCTTTTATTAGAATCTGCATTGACATATTTTTTTTTTCATTCACACATACATTTTTAATGTGAAATTATACCCAAATGAACTCAAATGTCTTTCAAACATACATTTAGTAAGATACAAAGTCTAACTCCATTTGATGTTTGATAATAGGATAATGCTCACAAACTTTTATGATTACATTTTTTTCAATAACAAGTGCAAAAATTTTGTATCTGGATCTAAATAAAAAAAAGTAATTGAGACTTCATTTAGATTTCATGTGTGAGGCATAATTCTAAATAATAAACACATTTATTTATATTAATATTCCTTTGTTTACCAAATATAGAATCTGATAAAGAAGCAGTTCTTCTTATCCTGAATAGCAAATTTAGGGATACATGTATTTGGGCAAAAGCAAATTATTCAGGTGGACAAAGAAAAAAACTGATAAAAGTGGGATTCAAAGTTTTGACTTTCTAAGATGGGAAACTAGTAATCAATAAACCTAAATAATAAGCCAAACAAGGATTGACTCAAATATTTGAACCAAAGCAAAGTATATTCAAACACTGATAAATGTCAAATGGAAAATAGACATGCTGAGTTGTTCTGTGAAATAGTTTTATGCTACAAACACTTGAAAATATCCCATAATGTGGATTGTGGGGTCTATGTGTATGTGTGTGTGTGTGTGTGTGTGTGTATGTGTGTGTGTATGTGTGTGTGTGTGTGTGTGTGTGTATGTTTAGGTGTTTGACAGGTTAATTCTGGTGGGAAATTCTCATGTTAGGAAATTCTAAGTCAACATGTCAATTCAGTTGCAAATATTCTATGTGCATCCCAGATAGAGGAGTTCTGGGGTTCAAACCCAGCCACAGGATCCATTAAGCCACATTGGTAGGCCTCATTCAGCCTTTCTTTAAAACTAGAGTTCTGCTCCAGAGAATGATCTCTTTCATTTTATAATTAATTCTGAAAAATATAAACTCCATGGATCACATAATAGAGATTGTCCTCATATATTTACTCTGATGATTCCAAAATCAGACAAATGTTGGTAAACAACATCCTTTAGACATATGATCACTTTTTTAAAAATATAACTTCAGAGTTTCACCTCAAAAGGTACAGGTCTCCACATATACTGTAAACCCTACTATGTATAATACATTAAAAACAGAAGAAATAAAATCAGTGAATTGTTTTAATTGAAATATTTTTTGAACATTTTAAGAAATCAGAAACCTGCCATTTATTTGGCAATGTTCCAGTTCCAGTTAAGTAGCATATTAAAGGAACAGGATAGTTAAATTAAACTAGCCTAGCAAAATGGGAAAAAATATTCTTAGGGCTTAGGACTTTTAGTTCACTGATAATTTTTGATAGTCCATTCTTATAATGCCAATGTGAATAAAATTACTGCTGCTTTTGTTTAAGTAAATTGAATTATGTATACTTAAATGAGAAAGAATTGAACTCAAACTTTTTTTTTCTTTGTGGTACTGGGGATTGAACCCAGTGGTGTTTTACCATTGAGCCACATCCCCCAGTCCTTTATATATTTCAAATTTTGAGATAGTGTCTTGCCAAGTTTCCCAGGCTGGCTTCAAACTTCAGATCCTACTGCCTCAGCCTCCAGAGTTGCTAACATCACAGGCATGCAATACCATGCCTGGCTTGATTCGATCTCTTTAAAATCAAGAAAAGGAAGAATCTGTAGAACAGTTGTGCTAAATTTGGGAGGTCTCAGGTACAATAGAAACTGTAAAATACAGACTGTCAGTGAAAAAAATTAGGAAGATGCAAGCAACTTTCTTTGGGTGGGGGAACAGCCCATTTGTCACCATGTTAATATTCAGGAATTCTGATTCTGATTTAAAGGGACATGATGCAGATAAGACCAGGTACATGGTAAAAGAATGAGGGGAAATCAAGAGGCAAAGAACTGGAAATGGCATGCATCACACTGCTTTTTTTGTGACTGAAAGAGAATGTTTGTTGCAGGGTTAAAACAAGCAAATATTTATAAATTTGATGAGAAAGGCTAAGATGAGGAAATTTTTGCAGACTCAGTAAGCTCATAAATACAATGAAAATGGAACTTTTAATTTACTTAAATTTTCCACTGTAGCATGTACTTTAAGGTCAGGCATGGGGAGTAAATATGCTGTTAGGTAATAAGCAAAGATAATTTGAGAGTTTTTTTTTTTTTTTGTAATTAGGAAATTAAGCTTGGGTCTATTTGTCTCATCACTATTGTAAAAAATACTTAGGAAGCTATCTGATTTAAAGCATTATTTTATTGTTTAAAACAATTCTTGGAGTTTAAAAAATGTGCTATCCTTTTAATTTCTCAAAAATTAAGTGTTTTTTGCTTGGTACATTTGTAATCTCAGTGGCTTGGGAGACTGAGGCAGAAGGATTGAAAGTTCAAAGCCAGTCTCAGCAACTTACCAAGGCCCTAAGCAACTGAGAGAGACCCTGTCTCAAAATAAAAAATAAAAAGTGCTGGGGATATGGCTTAGGGATTGAGAGCCTCTGGTTTAAATCCCTGGTACAAAAATAGATAAATAAAAATATTTTTCCATACCTTATTTTAATAGAAAATATGTATAAATATAATGCATTACAGTTAATGGTCACGTTTCTATCAGGTGGATTGCTTTCCCCTTCTTGTAGCTTATGCAGCAAGACTGGTATTCTAGTGATAGCTCATCAGTAGTAATTTGATAACATTATAAATCTTGAGATAGTAATCTACCCCACTTATGCATTCATGATTGCAGAAGACAATATCTGAATTGAAATGAAAACCAGTATGCTTGAATCAGGTGTGTAATATGCAAGCGTCTAAACAGCAAAATTACCAGTAAGCGACAAGTACAGATGTTCTTCTAATGTCTCTGTGTTTGTGCTTAAAAAGGTGCAGAGAACATGAAACATATTAAGTGTCATAATGGGGCAAAAACAAGATAAGATAACATATTAATTCAATGTCACCTTGACATGGCCTAATTCTTTTTTCAGTTGATTATAACTGCAACTTTTTTTGAAGTGTTGAGTATAGGTCACTGCCCGAGGCAGCTTAGTGGGGCTGATAGATATGCCATTACTGGGTTCCTAGGTGAAGATATTTTTGACAGGTACAAAAATACCCTTCACATTCCGTTTCTTCCACCCATCAGACAAATCATTTATTGAAACCAGGTCATTGCAAAAAAGAAAGGAAGGAGGCAAACAAGGTAGGAAATGAATGACAATTTTACAAGAAAACTCCAATTTATGCATTCTTGAAAGTGTGCTACCCAGGGAAAATATTTTTTTGTTCCATTGGGATTCAGAGTGCTCTACAGCAATAAATACCTATGCTTATAAATTTTTTCCCCCAATTTTAAAACTGAAGTTGTGGAGAGAGAAAGGAAACAAGGCATAGTGCTTGCCCAGCTTGCATGGAAAGACTCTGAACTTGGAAGACATGTTCTGTAGCCCCACACTTCTGATCAATATATTCTCTTGTCCACTTCCCCACTCTTGAGAATTTGAGCAATGCTTTTAAATTGTGTAAAGGTTATAAATACATATTTTAACTGGGCTTGTTGTTAAAGAGCTTTATAATGTGTTATTTGTGAGAAATTTTCAGGAAATCAATGTGACAATTCTTTTTACATTATCACTCAAGGCAGAATGATGAGCCCGCAAATATTTTCTTTATTTAAATGACAATCAGCCATCACTTTTCAGTAAAATGCAAGTGACAGCAAAAACTTGAATTCTATTTTGATATATACACAGAATTGGTTCTAGGCAAAGCCAGTAAATTTTACCCACTTACTTTTCTGTAGAAGCAGTTTTAAACTGACAGACTTTCTGCAAGATACTAAAATTATGCTAAAATGCATTGAGGTAGCATGTTTCTATTAAGCTTTAGTAGTGGGGACATGATTACTAAGTTAAAAGAAAGGTTTGGTCAATTAATCTTATTCATAGGCTATTGTTAGTAAAACCTGCCATCATGACAATTACTTGAGTTTTAGAAAAATCTACAAATACTTTTCCACTACTTTTTAAGTTATATCTATTAACAATGCTTTAAATCATTGAAAATCATGTTGTTCATTGATTTCTTTAAAAAGATGCCCAAAGATGTGTTTGACTGAGTTTTTGAGTGATTTGTTCCTGATTTAATTTTATGTAAACATTCGTAGTATCTTAGGATATCATTATCAAATCTTTTTTGAAAAGGCACTTAACTGAAATTCAAGTACATGAAACTTAAAACTGTCTTAAAGAACAGTTCATTTCATTTTAATTTTACAAGCTGAGTGAGAATATTTTAAATATTAATATATGAAATGAAATGTAATATGTCAAATGTTGTATATAAGCATGAATAATGAGCTATCATTAAAACTTAAAAATAATGAAATATATGTCTTCCAAACTATTAAATATTATTAAAATTCTAGTCTTTGAACAATAGATATTAAATACAAAATGTGTTCTATATTACCTAGTTCAATATTTGTGAAAATTTCAGTCTGGCTATTTTTTTTTTTTGTTCTGAAGTCACAAAAAAACTCTTCTTAGTGATCAGACATTATCAAGTATATCTCTGGATTTAAGTGGAACCAGAATAAAAAGAGGATACACTGATCAAATAATTGAACCACATAATGAACCAAATATCTACAAACAGCAGCAACAATAAAACTTGGTTATACTGATAGAAAACTCAAGGAATCATATCTATACATGTAAAACAATTGTATAAGTTTGAAAATTGTTATCTGCAAGCAGAGAAGTCTGCACAAACTAAACATCATACAATGTCTTACAGAAGGACCTTGAACTTAATAAGATCTTGCTATTAATATTTTGTGAGAAAACATACATTACTTTGAAACCCATTGTTACAGAATATATTACAGAATAATGAAACTCATAAAAGTTGTATAATCTGCAAATAAGGTTTTCAGGTTCAAATGCAGCAAGTTAAATGTTTCCTTTGAAAGTAAAGCTTGCTTTCATTTTTAGGCTCTTAGTGCAAAAATGTACAGAAATCCAATCTTTTCCAATCCAACAAATTATCACAGCATTACCAACATTGGAAAGTTTTGAATAAATTATTCTATAAAGTTGCTTTAGTTACCTTTTCACTGATATGTCTTAGGGTTCCTCTTGCAATGTGAAAAAATCAATTTGGTTTTACAAATTAAATTAATTAAAAATTCAAGAAGTATTAGCATTAAACACAGTTGTTACCATTGTGTGTGCAGACTCTATAATAACTAAATCAATAATATAATTATTAAGGGAATGCCTGAATTTCAAAATGAGGAACATGTGATTTGTCATTGTTGGTTTTTATTTTTATTTTTTTTCTTAACTTACTCTGAAGAATTCTTTTGTTGACCCTGAATCCAGAGTTCCATAGGCAATTTCTGTTTGTTTGGCCAGGTCTTCTGCACTTTCTATTGGGGAGACCATTCGCTCAACAGTCAGAAAAGCAGCCAGGTTAGCAGTATAAGATGATATAATGATGAGTGTAAAGAACCACCAAACACCTCCAACGATTCGACCTGAGAGGGATCTAAACATGGATAAGGTAATTCATGTTTTTCTTTCTCCAACCAACATAGAAGAAACACCCTCAAGTCACTGAGCCTATTTACAAATAACAATTGCAAGTATCATTTTATTTTCTGATAGTCTATTCAAGAATGATTCTAGTGTTTCTGTATAATCTTATATTTTGTATCTTAATATACAAGTGCCTCTGGAAATATGGAAAAAATTTCCTATTTGTCATTTCATTGACAGAAAAGTGGAATTAATGGAGTTCCTTTAAATAAAGAAGAGAAATACATGCATAAACCCACTAATACCCTATGTCCCTTAAATTTTATCACTTCTGAAATTAGGCTAAGGTTGATGAGATAAAATATAGTATCATAGTTTATTTGGTAATGTTGTTACTCTCTTAATGGTACATAAAACAGCAATACATCTGGACAATGATGGGATCTTAGATTTGATAAAGTCATAGATACAGACCTTGTGTTTACCTTCCATCAGAGCCTGGCAAGGACGGATGGAACACAGGCTAAGGTGAGGCTAGACCAGAGGAGAGCCTAGAATTGGTCTCAAATTGATGATCATAGTTGAGGATAGCTTTTCATTTGGCATTCCAATTCTGAGCCAAGTGGAGGATAAGCCATGTCCTAAAATATCTTTCCATACCGGTATGAACATTTTCTCCCTTCACCTTTTCTCTGGTTATCAAGGATGTATAGGTGAGTGTGAATGCAGAGGAAAAGTTAAAATGGGATGAACCAGAAATCCAGGGAATACACACAATTGATTTCACTCATGGGGATCAGTAAACTATTTAAAATTCTTGTGGAAAACAGTTTTTAAACATGTTTCATGTTAAACATGAAATGTGAAGTATCGTTTCATATTTTCCATGGAATTGGTAACTTTAAAGTGCTCCCTTATTACTCGTCATTATAAAAATGTTGCTGGGCACCAACTGTGCATGCCTGTCATCCCAGCAACTGGGAGGCTGAGGCATGAGGATTGTAAGTTTGAAGCCATCCTAGGTGACTTAGAGAGACCCTGTCTCAAAATTAAAAATAAAAGGGACTGGGGATGTAACTCAATAGTAAAACACCCTTGGGTTGACTTCACTATGTGTGTGTGTGTGTGTGTGTGTGTGTGTGTGTGTGTGTATGTATGTATATATATATATATATATTTATATATATATATATACATATATGTATATGTATATATATATTTTACTGGTTTTAACTTAATGTTTGCTTTACCTTGTCTTTTTAAAAACACACTACTTGATTTACTTTAATTCTTTCTCTTTTCATTAATTGAAAGTTACTAATTTAGATTTCTATGTTACTGGAAATTAAGCATTTATAGTTTTCCTGGGTCTTAGGAATACCAATTACATTGTGGTTAAAATGCTTTTTTGAGAAATTTATATAAAAGAATGTATTTCCCTATTTCTTTCTGTCTCTCTCTCTGTGTATGTGTATAGTGCTAGTAAACAGTCAATTAAATTCACAAGCTTTGTTTTTGGTGAACACAGTAACTGAGAAATGTCTAAATGTTAGAAAAAGGAAGGGTACCATAGTCCTGTGCCTAAATGGTTATTTTTTCTCCTACTGCTGAGCTTATTTATGTGTTGTTATGTAAAACAATCTCTGGTACAAAGCATATTGACTGAAATTTTAGGAAACTCTACGGCAGAAATTTCCATTAAACTAGTGGGGTTGAATATCAAATGCAACATTAATTTTTTAATGATGAACAGTAAAAGCAACATTTGTTTTTGAAAAGGATACACAATGAAAAGGAGTTCTATTTCAGTTTCCTTCTGTCAAAAGAGTGAGTGAAATATTGATACAAAATGATTTTCAAGAGTTCCTACACGTTTCATAGTTACTTTTCTATTGGTAAACTTGATCTATGAATATATTTATATTAATTTGGGAATTGAATTTTTTTCCCTGAATTTCAAATAATGCTGTGCAGCCAGGAAAAGAACTCAGAGAGATACTCCGTACAACATTTGGAATTACTTGGAAATTAGTGGAGAATGTGAGTTTTGAAACTAACCTGGGTGAGATGTCACATCCTTGCTGCATGAAAGCACCCAGGGAAAACCAGAGGCTGTTAAAGATGCCAAACTCATTGGGAGGCTGGTCGCTGGGTCCTTCTTTTCCATCCTCTGGCTCTTCTGTGTGCCACTCATACGGACTAAATCTACTAACTAGGAACAAGACCACGCTGACACCAATGTAGGCAAAGACTATGCACATCCAAATCTCATAGGCCAGAGGATCCAAGAAGGAAAACACTCCTGGTTTAGATTTCTGAGGCTTTTTGATCATGATAGATATACCCAAACTCATGAAGGGCTTAGAGAAGTCAATGACCTCCTCTCGTACCAAAGTGATTGTCAGAGGGGCAATAGCAATCTCTGCTTTCTATAAGAGAAAAGACACATGGAAACATACAGGTTAATGAATTTCATAAGCAATCAGCTCTGGGGTGATTCATTCAAAGGTAACTAGTCATGCACTCATTCTAATTTCTTTCTTTCTTCTTTTTTTAGTATCAACAACAAATGATCCTAGATATAGGAATAAATATCAATAGTAATTTGTTTCCATAAGATATTACTTAAATTCCATGAAACATTTTAATTGGTGCTGGCAGTTAGATAAAAGGATGAGAAACAGAAAGAGTAAATAAGCAAAAGTAACTTGAACTCCAGTTACTGCTATTAGTCTTTAAAGAACTGGGACAGTGCAGCATTAGAGAAGTAATAGTCTTTCCGTATGGCTGAATTTCGGAATTCTTGGCCAGGAATGTGCTATGCTGCTGCCTTTTCTGTTGCACTTGGAATGTTGCCACTGATTCATTCCGTGGCCAGCCCTTAAGTTTATGAATTGCAAATTTCAAATAGTCTGTTCTTATTTCTTACCAACTCTGAGAAAACCAGTCATAAAGTCTGTGTTTGTATGATAAAAAGAAAACCCATTGTTTGACAATATTTTCCAATTAAGAGCAAGCACAAAAATCTGGAAACTGGCATTTATTTCTTGCTATTCACATACTTTATTTTCTACTTCCAATTAAAAAAATAATTTTGGAACAAAGTTTCAATTCTCAGATATTATGATCATAAGACACCAACTTCCTTTTCAGAGTTCTGTGATTCTGAACAAAATTTTGAGCCTGTTTCTGTGTCTCTAAAATGAGGACATTTTTTTTTGCCTGTTTACCTTATTGGGTTTATTGTATTATATATTAAAACCATTAATAATGGCATTTATTAAGAGATTGTGTATCTGATGCTCATTTAAATGTTTTAAACTGCTCATTTAGTCTTCCCAACAATCTTGTGTTTATTGTTGTCTTGTAGATGATGGGACTAAGACTCAGCCTGAGGGTTTCACACATTATGGCAGCTCTGGGGCCCAAGCTGCCTCTAAAATCAATAAAATAAAATAATCAAACAAAATTAAATCCTGCCCCCTCTAAAATCAAACTATGTGAAATATGGTGTAAAAAACAAGCAGTTACATGATCTAGCCGAAAAGCAATTTTGATTACTTCTTTTAAAAAGAAAATATCTGACATAAAAATAGAGTCAGAAACAGCCAGACACAAGCTGCTACTTATAGGCTGCCACTCTTACATTAACTCCTGTACATTCCAAGCTCCTGGTTTGATGCAGTGACCTCAGTTCCATACAAAAGCCAGTGGGATGGGAGTCTGGGTAAGGCACTTGTAGTGATGCTCTCTGCTGGGAGACCAGGAACTGGCCATATATATCTTCATGTGGGATTGAACTTCAATCTCATCACAAATGCTCACAATATGCAAGAGCCAGAATATTAAGGAAAGCTATCATTTTTTCTATAGTAAGATATATGTAATTTTTCTTAAACAAGTAACATATGAACTGGCTATAAAAATTAGTATATAAAAACAGATAGAAAATTAGAAAATTATCTTATTCCTATCACTCTTTTTTATCTTACAATATACCTTACTAGACTTTGCTCTACAAATATTTTTTTCTTTTTTAAAATATTTGATACTACAGAACATTATGCTTTATAATTTCTTTTCTCTTTCCAAAGAATATGACTAACACTTTTCCACTTCAGCTCCCAAATTATAAATAAGTTTTAATGCTTGCAAATATTTTATTAAATGAAAATATAAAATTTTATTCAAACACTCATATCATGGAATTTATTTATTTATTTATTTTACTTTTATGTAATTTAAAACAGTGACTGCAGATATGTTTAAAGGCAAATCCTCACATACATCTTACTATTTAAAATAAATTTCTATGGTTTGAGGGGTAGCACAGCAGTAAAGCACTTGCCAAGCCCTGAATTCAGTTCCCAGTACTGCAAAACCCAAAAGCAAACAAATGAATGAAAAACCAATCCAGTTTCCATAGGAAATTGTTAGTCCAAACAACAATGACCTTTTTAATGCTCATGATATATTTTACTTTACTTTTCTTCAGAAAAACAATGCAGATTTCTACTGGCACCAGCACTATGTGAAAAGCACATATAGCCTTGAACATCTCTTGTTGTTCTTTAATCTTATTTATCATTATCTGTTTTCTTTGTGAAAAATTAAATTTCATTGTTCTGATTTGGATTTTTTAATAAAAAATGGCTACTTTCACCTCTTTTATTCATTAACTATCAGAATCTGGCCCCATTTTTTTCATATAGAGTATTGATTTTTACTTTCCAATTTAAGAGTGGTTTTATTCTTTGTTTTTGTAGTACTGATGATTGAGCCAGGGGTGCATAACCACGGAGGCACAGCACCAGTCCTTTTTAAAAACTATTTCTTTTCATTGTAGTTGGACACAACTTTATTTTATTTATTTATTTATTTATTTATTTATTTTTGTGATGCTAGTCGAGTGCTCTACCGCTGAGCCACAACCCCAGCCCCAGTACCAGTCCTTTTTATTTTTTATTTTGAGACAAGGTATCACTAAGTTGCTGAGGCTGGCTTTGAACTTATGATCCTCCTGCCTTAGCCTCTCAAGTTGCTGGGATTACAGGCCTGTGTGTGTCACCACACCCAGCTATATGTGGTTTTAAATTGATAAAATGTTAACTTTTATTTTCTGTATATGTTTCTATATATTGTTTTGTTTTCACAACTTAGTTAATGGTGTTTTTCCACAATATATATGTTTTAAATTCGTTGTAGCTACATAAAATTATCTTTTTGGGTTAGCAGCCTTTGTTTCATACTTTAGAAAAATCTTTCTCATATCAATATTATTTTTTCTAGTATTTATAGTAAGTTTATAATTTATTTTGGTATATTCCATGATGAAGTGTTACAGAATTACTAATTTTCCAATTGGTTGTTCTGCTGTCCCAAAAGGAATGAAAGAATAATGTTTGCATCCATTCACTGATGTGAAATGTCACTTTAAACATACTTTGTTCTATGTAGCATCTTCTAGAATGTTTTAATTTACACATTATCACTGGTGGCACAAGAAACCTTAAAACAAAAGAAATGTAAACAGAAATTAAGGTGTTTTCAGCATACAAAAATAGATGCAACTGAAGGTGAACATTGGATGAAGGTGGTGAGGACAAATTCCAATAAAAGACATATTTTTGAAGCCTGAGATTTATGGGAGTTCTGAAAAAGACCAGTTAAGAAGACATAAATAGGCTTTCTCTAATAACATTGGGGATGTGTGTCTGCCTTGTCCTATGACCTCTCGGTGATGCCCAAAAGATAGTATGTAATATGTCTCTTTTAGTAGTTGGGAAGATTTGTATTCTTGAACATTTCTGGATGAGAGAGGGGTGAGGCTCATGAATCAACATTTTCATGCAGTAGTAAAATAGAACAATCTTTACATGCCATAGGTAACTGTGATGCTAGTGGTCCATAGTTTGTGTTTTGAGAAATATTTCCTTAAACACACACACACACACACACACACACACATATATATTCACACACACACAGTATGGCAGGGCCCAGTAGAAGGCACCCTAGGGCAGCAGCACATCACAGGAAATCTGAGTGAACTTGATATACAGGCAGGATCTAAAAATGTAAGAGAGGCTCTGAGCTCCTGGGCCTCTGTGTGGTGGGGTGTTGTGTCTCAGATGTGTGTTCACAAGCAAGAAATCTGTTCATACAGTTATAGTAGCAAAGTTGGAAAAGAGCAAGTGAAAAAAAATTGATTCAAAGTAAATAATTCAGCAGTCTAACAGGCTTTGTCTAGAAAAAGAGAAAAGATTGAGTTTTACCTGGAACTCTGTAAAGTGGATAATCATGTTTGTGTTAGCAGTAAAAAAGAAAAAAGAAATCTGAGAAGCAAGGAAGGATTTTGTAGACATCAGAAAAGAAAGTATAACACCTGTGGAAAGTTGAAGAGACATGGAAAAAAGATTCCTTTTGGGACAACTGCGGGCAACTCAAGTGGCAAAGATTGAGGTCTTCAAACACAGGTTAGCTGAAAAAATAGGATGACATTATTAATACCTATTATGTTAAACTTTTCTCTCTCTGAGAACTGGATGGCTTTGGAACTTTTTGTTAATGTGACATGTATTACTGATGTGTTTTTTGGTGTTAATTATGCTATTATCTTCATATCATTTGTTTTCATTATTTAAACAATTGCCCCCGAATAAAATTTGGTCAAAACACTTGCCAAGAGGTGGTCCTGTGATGCTCAGTGGCTGGGGGAACATTACAGGATAGATGTAATTTGTGTAACAAATGCCCTAGAAAGTAACTCAGCTAGTGGATCCACAGTTAATTAGTAATCCAAGTATGATTTTTTTTTTTTAGATAAAATACTCAGTAGTGTTTTCTGAAGGAATTGATTTACTGCCCATGTTGAACATCCCTAATCTGAAAATCTGTAGTCTGCTAAAATGCTACAAATCTAAATGCTCTAAAATCCAAAATTTTTTTGATTGCCAACATAATACCACAAATGCAAAATTCTATATCTGTCCTCATGTGATAGGTTAGAGTCAACATATGGTTTCACATATAGAAACTCTGTTTCATGCATAACATTATTTTAAAATATTTCATGAAATTACCCTCAAGCTATGTGTATAGGTTTATATGAACCATAAATTAATTTTGTGTTTCAGATTTGTGCCTCCAGGTATCTCATTATGTGTATGTGAATATCCCTAAATCTGAAAGAAATAAAAATTTTAAAAGCCTTCTGATCACAAGTAATTCAGATAAAGGATACCACACTGTAGTTTTGGCAACTTGGATAAGGTCCTTGTCTAAAAGTTGCTTACTGTAACAAAAGTTTAAAATATTAACCAAAGAATCTTTATGTTAGGAGTCCATTTTCCCTGGAACTTAAAACTCAATATGAACTGTCCAGGAATCCTGTGGTAAAATGTGTCTTGCTTTTTGTAAACTGCATTTTCTCCCTCATTTAGGGCCACTTAAGCAGTCAGCAGTTCTTTTCTCATGGATATAAAACTGATTGCTTTATAATGTCAAACAATTTCCTCTTTCTGCTGAGGTTGTACCTGCTGTACTGTGCTGTACAGAAAATGGTCATTGCTTCATGGTCTGAAAAGCAGGATACAGAATCATGAAACTATTGAATTGCAGTTCTGGTTGGAAAAGTGAGTCCCTCTGTAGACTTCAGTAATGTTCTAAATCTTTCTATCTTTACTCTTTTTACACTCTGTGTCATTTTTCATTTCAAAGGAGTCTTATGAGGATTAATCAGATAGAGTATACTTTGAAAATGAGATCTGTGAATTATGAATTGGCTCTTATAAAATTTCAGAATATATTTCAAGTGTATGTTACTTTTATTGATTACTGAATGAATAGAGCTGACTGTAAGCTACAGTTTTGGATTCTGGACTTTTGAAATATCATAGCACCACTAGCATTTGATAACTGCCAGTTTGATTTTGACACTGCAGTGGTAGCCAAAGAGAATGATCCTGATCTTGTTCATTCAGGCACGAATGTCAGCGCTATGTTTGTCCTCAGCTATCAATATATACACTAGATGTCTGACACACTCCAGGGAAGGGAATGGTGCACTTTGTGGGAAGCTCACTTCAGGAAAAATTCTAGCTTTTGTATTTTGCTCTGTATACTAGTGTGAAAAAAAAGATGGCATTATATAAAGTTTAAATATACTGTGTTTCTGCAAAATTGGGAGAATTTTGCATGGTTGATGAATATTTTATAGAAACTAAAGCAGTGTAGTGATTGCTTCATCAGTTACTTTAAAGCTACTAATGAGTAATCACAAACAACAAGGATACAAATAACTAGGTAAAATAATGACCAACTTTATACCATTGAAGGAAGTCTGCTCTTGTAATTATCAAATGACAGACTTTGAATGGATTTGCTTTGTAGGTCTAAGGTTCTCTAGTATACCAGTCTCAAGCTTAAGGGTATCCTCAAGACAGATCCTGAAGCAAATGCTTTTGTTTTTTTCCCTGAATTCCTACCCCCCTTTTTTTCTGATTTTGAAGCTATCAAACATCAGTTTAATAATTTGGAAATCACATTTTTACTGAAATGGGGAAATTATTGAATAACATTATGCCTCTTGAAACATCACTCTAAACTTAATAAAATAGTAATAGACATTTGAAAATTGATATGTGCCCAAGTGAAAAGTAATTTCAGGCCATGTAAGTAAATTCTTCAATAAATTGATTTGCTTACCCCGTAAACAAGTTCTCCTACCATCCCATTCCAGATTTTTGTGTCTGCATCCCTTGCTCCATATTTTCCATCAGGGACAATGGCAATTTTATACTTGATACCAATATGTTTTGCAATTTCAGATGCCAAATCTACACAGTATCCTTCATACTTGTCATTTCCTTCAAACATTTCGTGATTTTTCTTGTACATAACATAGGGGGATTCCTATAATGAGAGAAGCGAAACTGTAAAGGAGAAATTATAAAAACATTTGAAAACCTTTATGTAATTTGCCTTTACATAATTTTCAGAATTTGACATAAATAGTATATTCAGCACTGTTACACATGTGATTTTGAGTGGTCAGAAATTAATAAATAAAACAGATGAATACATAAATATGCTTAGGGTTATATTAAATTGCTTTACATTGGATAATAAAAGTAAATCTTTAAAATAGTTTTCCACAGAATTATTATTACATATCCAGTACTGTGACTGTAATTAAAAAAAGTCCATTATTAATTCTCTATAGAGCAGCTTAAGTTATCTTCTTTGGCAATGAAATTATATTCCCAAAATATCTCATGAAATTAGAGACTATTGAGTAGTCAGCTTCATTCAAAGTCATGTGTCTTAATATTCTTCTGTACTTTTTTAAAGCTATATTTAGCTGTGACTTCCTTTAGAAAGAGGCCTATATAATTTGTCTTTGATTTCTAATAATTAGTAAGATAATCTTTCTTAGAGCAGGCATTTGTCATACACAAAGTAGAAATAAATCAGTAATTTAAAAAATTTTACATAGTTAGTTATTTGCATTAAATTTACTTTCCTAAAGTTGTCCAGTATTTTGGCTTTAAATGCATGTGCTCTATGCATTTTAAGTCTATTATGAAATATGTTCCTATTGAAAGTTAATAATTTTCCTTCAGCTGTGATGAACACACACTTCAAGTGGTATTTCTATTTAGTTTTATGAGTGAGTTAGAAAATAGGAGCATCCTTACAATGTGGAAGTTTACCAGTGGCTAATAATTATGGGACAGGTTTCAGTTAAAACACATACTCCTAAACTGAAGCATTTAAAGGCCCTAACTAAAGAGACATGTTAGCAAAAGGCATTTTGTTTTTGCAAATGCCACCTAAGGCCTGGTGAACATGAGATAGGGATCTGTCACACTTCAGCTTTTTTTTTTTTTAAATATTTTTTTAGTTGTTGATAGACCTTTATTTTATTTATTTATATGTGGTGCTGAGAATCGAACCCAGTGCCTCACACATGCCAGGCAAGTGTGCTACTGCTGACCCCCAGCCTCAGCCCACACTTCAGCTTTTTTAATCATATGCAGATAAGGACTGACCACTTTTGGCCACAGATTTATTGATATAATGCATTTGTATTTTATAAAATTTTATTATAACTTTAATTGTTCCTAAGAATCTTTTTTCCCTAGAAAATTCACAGTCAAGGAAGCTGAGCTCTGGATTAGAAGGCAATTTATTTTATATAAAATAGTAGTCCTACACTAATTCTGAATTTGCTTATAAGTACTTTGCAAATGTTGAAGCCCATTTTAAAAATAATAAAATGTGTGAATTACATGATATTTTCTCATAGAGATGCCCTAAATAATTACACAGTGGGAAATTGTTCATACTATTTTATTAAATACTACCCTGATAGGCATTATCAAGTGACCCAGAGGTCTCCTAATTCTTTGAATTTGATGAATATTCTAACTGGAATTGGGTAAAGAAAGTTTATTCACCTATAAAATTAAAGCACTCTCTCATCTTCAAAATGAAAATTATTAGCTTACAGAAAATATTCTGAAATTTAAAGCATTTTCTAAATTATGAGTGTGATTATAGAGATTGGTGAATTGCTACAAAGCATTTCAATTTCTAAAATATGGTATAAAATCTTAGTTATTATAAGCCTACTCTTTTGTTTTCTCTTTTTTTATAATAACCTAATCAAAATATGAAAGATAATGCAGAAAAAAGCAAGAGCACATATTTGTAAAATATTTTACATTCAAGTACATATATTGTATAGAAGTTTTCCTGGCTAGCAAATAATCAACTTTACTAAAGTGTCTTTTTACTACATAGTGAAAATTTTGCTTAATTAAAACAGCACATTTATTATTTAATCAGACATTTATTAGACACCCATTGTATGCCACGCAATTTGCTGGGACCTAGGAATATAAAAATAAATAAAATAATAAAATATCCCCCTCTTCTAATCAAATTACTCTAAATTCTTTGTAATAAGGGTAAAAGAGTGTAAATGGGTGAGGAGCAATAATGAAATTTAGTACTAAGAATGATAATAGTTCTTGCTTATTTAGTGCTTACTCTGTATCAAGTATGATGGGTTAATTATGTTCTTTCATTAACATTTTATATTGACATTTTAAAGTAGGCATTTCTTTTTTGCAGATGGAAAAGTTAAAAGACTGAGGGAATTTAAGCATTCTTCTGAAATAGAACTAACAAGTAACCAATGTGGGAGTTAGGCATACATTTTGAAATATCTGGAAAATTTTAAATTTATTATCATACCCATTAAAAGATGTGCAACTAAGATTTCATATGATTTAACAAGAGAGGTAACAAGAATAAAGAAAACTATTTCTGTATTTTTAGCAAATGAAGTTGTTTATTTTATATTGTCTTTTGAGAAAACTATGTAAACCTTTCATTTCTCCTCATGGTGTCTGCCATATAGAAGGCACTCAATAAATCAGTACTTCCTAAATAAGAATTTCATTGCAAAATAATTATAGTAGAACTTCTGATTTAGTTCTTCAAAAAGGGAGGTAAAAACTGACAAGTGCTAGGTTGTCCCTTTTGAATAAGGCATATGTATATATCAGTGAAATACTTAGTATCTTCTTTCATTTTTTTATTTTATTTTATTTTTGGAGGGGGGTGGAAGTGCTGCAGGTCTTTGTTTTCCTGCCAAACACACCAGCCAAGGCTAGAAAAATCTTCAGCTTATTGAAGATGTTGATTGTGAATTGAGCTAGATGTTTTGCATAACTAGGACCATAAATAATGACTGGGATTCAGAATGAATGATGCATATAGCTTAAAAGAAACAAGATGACCACCCTCCAGGAGGTGGGAAGAACAAAGAGAGAAAAACTAGGCTTTTCTTGCACAAAGTCTACCATGTTGCTCAACTCTACCCAGTTTCTTTGAGTGTGGCTCATTTTGCTTTCCCTGCATGACAAATCCATATGAGTAGCAAGCAAATCCTCAACACTCCCAACCCTATTCGTCTCATCACTAATATGACGAGTTGTTTGCATGTTTCTCTCAGAACACACTATCCTGGGGAAATTTATTACAATGTTTTAGGGTTACTAGGGGTGAACAAAATACCAAATCTTTTCAATATAACAACAACAACAAAAAAAAAAGAATTCTAGAAAACCCTTAAGAGGAACTTGTGAAGTATCTCTGCAAATCAATCCTATTGAGCCCCAAGTGTTCAATTTTGAATCACAATGGAAGGATCAGAGAGTGAAATATAACTTCTTCCTTCCAGTGTAACCTTCCTTATTTATTATCAAGTACTGTGCTCTATGGAACAATAATTTCTTAGAAATTATTTTATATGAATTACTTGTTAGTGATTGTCAGTTTATTAAAACGATTTCCATAATAAATGTTGGTATTTATCTTAGTTTGCACTTGACATTTTTAAAGCTTAATTAGGAGAAACACAGTTGGATATTCTACATTTCCTTTTTTTCTTTTCTTTTCTTCTTCTTTTTTTTAATGTGGCACAGATTTGGATTTGACCTCCTTAGGTTGTTATATAAATGATTACTTTGAAGGCAAAAAGTTAAATCAGTATCATCATCAGTTCAATAATACTACAGATTTTATAAAACTTCTACTTAATGAGACTTAAAGATAAAAAATTATGATAGTGTCAATTTTATTTTCTATTTAGATTTAGCTATACTATATTCAGTATGGTTATATTCAAGTAAAATAAACTCATCATTAAAATGAAGATCACATTATAGATATATAACACTGTTGTAAGAAAAATAAAATTTTAGCAGTATAAAAAGTGACACCACATTTTGTTTAGGAATGAGAGCTATAATAATCATGGATTATGTTTCTTATCTGCTTTTTCTTACTAGGATATAAATTCCACCGAGTGCAAGATTTTTGTCCGTTTGTTTTCTGACATATCCCCGGGGTCTATAACTGTGCCTAGCACACAGCAGACGCTCAATAAATATTTGTAAATGAATATTGGGAATTTCTCAATCAGTTTTATTTAACAATAGCATATATCATTACAGTGTATCAACATATAAATAACAGCATACACGAAGAAAAGACAAATGTAAAAACAGCAATATCATATCAATTTTGATCAAAATGGATGATTTCCAGTGCTCATTCTCAGACTTCTGTATCTAGAGATCTGTATTGTACATATTACAATGACCAGCGAACTCATCTGTATTGGGTATTTTCAGTTGAACTTGGGGAAGTATTACATGCAGTTATAAATATTAATCTACATGGAATCATATTTCTTTCAAAATGAATGAGGTGATAGAGTTGTCGTAAGTACTGGGCTACCATTTTCCACAAAAGCAAATAAAAATAACACTTCCAGGGAAAGAATTCTAGTATGTATTTTTGAATTACTGAAAGATTATTCAGTTGCAAATACCAGAGGTATTATTTATATGAAGATTACAATTCATACAAAAAAGATAGATACTAGTATTACACTATTCGATAGCAAAAATAATGATGGCATCATTGTCAAACCACAGATAATTTTACAGAATATTCTTCATATAGAGAGAAAACAACTGGATTTTCAGTGACTTTTACTAATTTTTTGAGAGCATGCTTCCTGAAAACTAGCCATGCTTGCAAAATTAATCCAATATTTTGTTTTTAAGAATTTTATATCCAACCCTTTTAATAAAAGGGATGGAAAGGAGATTCTCTACATTGTATCTATAATGCACAATAATACATTTCATTTCACAAAAAAACAAGCAAAATTTTCAAAAATCTCTAAAGAAAACAATTGCATATATTCAGAAAACAAGCACAGGAATTCAGAGATTTTTACTTTTAGAAAATCTACCCTTGGAAATAGGAGTGGTATAGTTCCATCATTTGTATACAAGGACCTCATTTCATGAGATGGGAACTGATATGTGATATCACTAAGTAATTTCTTTTTTGACATATATTTTCTTGGGGAAGATGAGGATTTATTCTTCTTTTCTTTTTCAGAAAAGTCACAGACAATTTTTTTTTAAATTGTTTTCTGGTAGTCCAGAGTTGGTCATCCAAGAAGATTCCCACATGAAAAATAAGCTTAAATTATTACACAGTAGAACAAGACTGGAGCCTTAGTTAGGAATGGTCGAACAGCGTGGAACTCTTTTCTTTCTTGATCAATTTCTTAAAATAGGATTCTTCATCAGAGGCTGAAAAGAGGAGGACTGTACTGAAGTATGACTTTCCATTACTGTGTCTTTTTTTTTTTTTGGAAAAGAAATATAAATATATATTGCTTTTCAAGTCCCATGCAAATATTACACAATTAAATTAGAAGGTATACACAAACACTGCAGTTGGTTGGTTTGTATACTAAAATCATAAATTTCCAATCAGGGTTTGTCAGATTACATTAAATTGCTAACTGGTGATCCAACACAGATGTAGCTAATTGAAACATGTAAACGCTTCTCTATGGAATTTTCATGCTTTGACCTCAATGTCAGTTTTAGAAAAAGCGTGACATTACTAAAAACCTAAAGCTAAAAATTAAAATTCTGTAAGCTATAAACTAAATTATATAAAACACTTCCATTTTATTAGAGTAGGGATTCCATAAATAATTGATGATATATTTTGCCTGAAGAGACAGTAAGCTGAAGACGTTATAGCTTTAGATAGGAAATGTCACTGATTGTTGATCTCCTTTCACCACCATCGATTCTAATGAGCATGTTTGACTTTAGAAAAGAAAAGTACATAACATATTCTATTATTTAAAAGATAATTTCATAAGAATCTCTTGGAAAGTATAGCCTTAAAATTTAGAGTGTTTTTTCATTTCATGACGTGAGCAAATGAAGCAATCACATTTTTCTTAATTCCTAGAAGTCCAATAGTTCATATGTGTATTTCTCACTAGACAATGAGAAAAATAATAAGTGCAAAAAACTCTGTTCACATTAAGAATAAATGCAAAACAAAATCAATTACTAAAACATTCGTTGTATAAAACATGCCCATTAAAATCTCTACATTTACATCTTTACTGTTATAAACAGACAATGTAAATCATTATCCAATGATTAAACTACCTGAAAAATTATAATTTTAAACACTATTAACTATTATTACATTGATGTTAAAGAAACATAATGACGATAATAATATGGTGTTTACTCCCAGATATCTTTATGATTGGAAGTTGGCCTTTTGCATGTTCACTGTTTGGTGTTTGGGTCTCAACACTTCATACATTTCCAACTAGATTTTGACAGTCTCATTTTTTTTTTTAACATCCGAGCACTTTTGCAAAAACAATAAATGCAACAAAAGATAACACAAATAACAGTACAGAAAAGACTCAAAGCTCAGGACAAACCTATTCGATAGATTTTGGTGGGTCAGAACACTCCCATCATCACTAAGATTCAGTTTCTGCCCTCCCTGTTCACTTTAGTTGGGGAGTTAATATTGCCTGTGGACAAAACGGAACACCACAAAGCATACACCAAAACTTACCATGATTGTGGTCACAACCACTGTTCTGTTCTCAATGGCTGCTGTGTCATTGCCAAGAGTAGGGACATCCTGAATCAAGACTAATTTGTCCATATCATTCCAGTAACCAACCTGCCAAACAGAAAAAATACTTGAAAACATGGAGAAGTGTTGGCTCTAGCTTTCTTTGGGATAGTGAGTGCTATAAATAACTAAGCAACCCAAACAAATTTAAAATGCAAATAAAAAGGAGTGCTTGCAAGTTTTGTTAATTGATAATGAGCCGGTTTTCTTGGTTTTAAAGATACTGCCTTATTACATATTTACAACTTATTATCATGGTGTAGCCAAGATTTGGGAAGGGCTGGTTCCAAAGGGCATATGAGTTAGATGGAACACCATTTATGGTGATTCTCTCTTCTAGTGGTATAGACTGGCATAGCCTAAAATTGATTTATATGATCTTAAAATTAAAGCTACAAGTTGTATAGTAAAGGAAATAGCCAGCCTTTTAAGCAAAAGAAAATTTCATATTTGTTTATTTGTATATTCATTTATTTGGTACTGGGGATTGAACCCAGGGATGTTTTACCACTGAGCTACATCCCATCTCCCTCCTTCCTTCCTTCCTTCCTTCCTTCCTTCCTTCCTTCCTTCCTTCC